CTTGGCTCTGGGACAAGCCCAGGCAGCAGCAGTGCATTGTTCCCACCGCTGGTTTCACGTTCCCTGTGCTCACCATGGACCTGCGACCTGGCACGAGGTCTCTGCAGCCCCCGGCCTGTGGCTCAGGGACAGCCAGCGAGGCTGGTGGCAGCGGCAGCATGGTGGCCAGGGGGCTGGAAGTGCTTGGCCTCCTGCCCCCGGACTCCTGCCAAACATCTGCAGCAGGCGGGGACTGGCTCCAGCCTGGCTCTGGTGGAAAAACAACCGAGAAGGGAGGTTCGTGCAAGGGTCAGCCCGCCCAGCATGCCTGCCATTTGGGGTGGGGGACCCCGATCCGGCAGGGTGGAGCAGCACGCTGCCTTCAGATGGTCTTGCTGGAGCCTCCGGCACCCTTGGGTCTCCCATGCTGCCTCTGGCGTGGCATGGCATGGCACGGCAGGGATGCTGGGTGACATGCCCAGCGTCCCATGGAAGCTCAGTGGCAGAGATGGGGTCCATCGACTGTGCCTTATTAAATTCTTCCCTGTTCCCCACATCCACTGAGGCCGATTCGCGCCAGGATCCAAGGAGAGGGGACTTGGAGAAACAGGTCCCATATTTTTATTTTGGTTTTAGGAAAATGCAGTTCAGGAGTGGCTCAGCCTTTCCCTGCACGTGGCGGGGATCAGGGACATGTGGAAGAGACACAACTACACTGTGCCACCGCTGTGCGTGTTGCACTGCTCCTCCTGGCCCCCAAGTTCCTGTTAACCACGGGAAAGCCACCAAAGCCCCACGCAGGCAATTAGGGGATATAATTAGAAGTGGGTGGCTGTTCCCGTGGTGGGAATGAGTGGGGCAGGGAGTGCAGCCGTGAGCAGCTCCCCGGCTCTGTCCCAGCTCTGTCCTGGGAGGTGGCTCAAAGCCTGGCTGGGGTCAGCGTGAGCTGGCTGGGGAGCACGGCACCATGCCGGGGAGCATGGCACCGTGCCAGGCATGCACCAGTCCCTGTCGGCCGCAGGATGCAGCGAGGTGCAAGCAGCGTGTCAGCCAGGAGCTGCAGCCCCATGGCCCTGTGGTCCCAAATCTCCCCAGAGCCTGGGAACTGGGTGGGGAGGGTCGAGCCCCTGGTTTCGACTCCCACAGACTTCCCAGTTTTGGGAAGGAGCCGCCTCACACCGCCCATGGCCACATCTGTGAGGGGTAATCGGAGCATCCTTGCGGCCAGCCCGGCCGTTGGCGCATTGTGCTGGGCTCTGGGCAGTTCCTAAGCAGCGGCTGAGCATCTTGCGGGTTTGCCTGGACTTGTAGGAGCACCCCACACTGCTTGGGGACCCATGTTAGGGTAGGGCTAAGCCACTTCTC